CGGGAAACTATCCAATATATCGGAAATTTCAGTGTAGGCCGTCTGAGCCTTGGCTATATAGTCGGGCATCAAGTTACAAGTACAAGGGGTGCAGTACTGTTAGTGTTAAAACGAAGAGAGAGAAATTTGACGCAAAACAAAAACAGATTTTCAGAACTGCATATCTTCACACAATTTTCAATTACTATAACATTGCGAAATATTATTTTATAGTAAATAATATGTCGCAATGTTATAGTAATTGAAAATTGTGTGTGAAGATATTACATCATTACTGAGTACAACACGTTATATCATTGCAACACAAGTTTCACAGGTTTTACAGGGTAAACAAATCTATTTATGTATTATAATTATATCATTGATATATGAGATTGTCATGGGGAAATGTTTAAATTCTGTAATCCAAACTCAGTCAGTTTCCAAAAAACAAGTTTATCAGGATTAAATATTTATTGATAACAACAAATGAAGGAAATACGTGAGTTGCCTTTGTAATTGTATCCGGTGAAAATTGGGGAAATTGGAAAATGACATGTTAGGTGACCAAAAAACGTACATGTGACATGATTTTAAATTTAACCGTACGATGGGCGTTTGGTGTCCGGGATCCCCTTAAATTTTCGGTTACGGGCTTTAGTTTTATCATCGCCTGCTATCTCGAAAACAATTAGTTTCACAAAAAAATCAGGGTAAAAATTGTGTATCTTTCACACGTACGTGTTTATAATAATTTGAAGGTAAAAAGAAACGACCTAAACTTTTTTGTAAAATCTGAAATCGAAATCGCGACATTTGATCTTAGCCATCAGCTTTATTCGAATTAGGTACTATTTAAAAAATGTTTGAATATGATGCTATTTTTTCAGTAGCAAGCCCAATTTCCGTCCGGGATAAACTATTTCGTTTAAGAATGCAAGCGATTAATTAGTCTTGATATGCGGTCAAACCTGGTTATAGTTATACTAAATATCATCGGAATTCCAACTATGCAGAGATGTTGGTCGTTAGACTAAAGAAGTCGGCAGACCGTGAAAATATTTTGTAATCAGTTTCAATAACAGGTCAGAAGTCTGGGTACTAAAGCATAATTATTGCCTTATCGGACAATATTTTACCGGACATTTCGTGAACGGACATAATTTTGAATGGATATTAAAATGAACGCTCGAAGGCATTTATTTAATTTAACTGCTTTTCCATTACTATTAGGGGTTACAGAGGTGCCAAAACTCTTCCATTCACGGCAATAAGTGATTTAGACCTAAATCTGATCAACACTCCTAGATCATAATTATAAAAGATCGGGGAGTGTTTGATGGGCGAGGGCCTGAACTGCATGTTGTTGTGAAGTGAATTCATGGAATTTTATTTTTATTTTTATTTGACCATTTTATGGCTTACAAAGGGTTTTATTTTCACCCTGGTTTTTAAAAATGTATACCGTTTTTAATTTATTAATTTATTGACAGAAGTTTACTTTTTGGTGTCTAACCTTATAGTTAGACAATTACCAATATAACCATTGTCGAAATTATTAGTGTATATTGTTCGAATAATTTTCTTTATTTAACTACCAGTGCAGTACCTCCAGCGTCCAATTTATTTGTGTCCATTCAAATAAAGTCCGAGAAGGTAACTTAATTACTGTACTACCAATCACTTTAATATGTACTACGTAAGTTCCAAGTATAATAACTTAATAAGCTGGGACAGAAGGGGACTGTTTCTGTCACCCTTAATTAACCCGGGAAAGCACAACTTCCCCCTTTGCGTCTGTACCTACCGATGCATATACAGGGTGGGCCAAAAGTCAGTGGGCATACGTTGGCCTTAATAGCTCAGTCACTGAGTGACCAATTGAAATTATTCTTTCTGGTACGACTTACTACCACCACTGGTTCGAGGAATTTGTCAAATCGAAAAATATTAGAGTTCATTTTTTTCAAATGAAGGTTCATTTTTACATTTATTTGATAGTTTGGATAGTCGGAACGAGCTAAATTTTATTGAATTGTGTTTGGCCATTCGAATTACGTTTGTCCTGAACAAATTACAGTTGTAGCTTCTCGTATAGCCGAGATACGAAGCATAACGAGTTAATTCATTAAGTGTGATCAGGTGATAGGCTTACCTAACCAACCCATTAAAAATTATGGAAATCGTTAATGCTGCCAAATTAAGGTGTCGTGTCACTGGTCACGGTGTCACATAATCACCCAGTCAATTTTGTTAACGAGACACACAAAATGCTTGATAACTTTGTCATTTCTAATCCGTTTCACGTCATTTTTTATTGACCATTGTTAATGATCTGGCCCGGCGCGCGCTACTTTGTAGCACTTGCCATCGGGCCATTTCTAGAAGAAAGCGGCGCGCGCTACTTCGAAGAAATTTAGACGAGTAACATCCGTCAATTTTTTTAGAGATGCAACATTTAATAATCTACCGTCTCTAAAAAATCAGGCGTCCAGCATATTCAAAGAAAACAATATATGTGTTTTAATTTTGAATGGGCGTGGTCTAAAATATTCGAATTTTCAAATTTTGACGACGGAATCCTCGAACCAGATAAAGAAATAAAAAGGTACAGTATGCCATCTGAAAAGCAACAGCTCTCAAATATAAAACACAGCGGAGCTATTAAGGCCAACACATGCCCACTGACTTTTGGCCCACCCTGTACTTAAGAAATAATAACCAACGGTATTTTCTCTTTCAGATGACACTGCACATACCTTATCCTTGTCATACGTTGTATGACCCGCCGCGCACGAGTGCGCGGCTCCCCTGTATCGTCGAAACTCTACAGGGGTGAAGCGATCGTGGGGGTCACCACGTGATACAACCTTATCCGTATCGGTCATAATTATCAAAGACATTACTTTCACGCTATGAAGATCTTATAGTAGAGGCTCTTACGGGCAAAAAGACGTGTTTTCTGCTACGAGTTTAGAGACCTAACCGCTAATTGGACACAATAGTATGATGTCTAAGGATCGATAATATGTTAAGAAGTATAAATTTGGACTTATTAGTCACGTGCTATACCAATGCGCGTTTTAAACTTTGACAGTCTATTACTCTAAGGCAAATAGAGTAATTATATTCATATTTTGTCAGCAATAAGATCACATTATTTTCTATTTAGTGTGAAAATATGAGCTAGAACGGACATAATCTCGCTGAGTTATAGCTGTTTGAAATTTATGATGAACGCGCGGGTGCCAATTGATAACAACTAAATGCTTTTGCGCGTAGTGCGCGTCGAAAATTTGGCAAAAACGCTTGCGGAGTGACAATATTCAAACTTCGATAAAGTATATGAAGTGGGTACTTCTCGGAAAGGAAAAATTTAGGCAAACACGATGTGACTATTTTTGGGTTGATTTAATACAACTGCAAAAAATTATTCAAACTTCAAGCAAAAAAGTCAAAATTTTTACCACTTTTTTGGATTTTTACCTCAGAACAAATAGAGGGATTTGTTTTATTTTTATACAATCTTGTGCGGCTGTCTTTTAGCTATCTTTATGCAAGTTTTGCCGACATGCCAACAAAATTAACTTGCTCAAAATATCAAAAAACATGGTTTTTTGGCCTATTTTTGGCCCAAAAATCGGTTTTTTGCGATTTTACCCCAGAACAATCAGTCCAATCATCTTGAAACCACTTTCAATCGATTCTACGGTCAAAAATACGTCTAGTAAGGTGTATCTGGGGTCCCTAACGTATCGAGCAGACAATGCCCGTAAGAGCCTCTACTATTAGCCGTAGCGCGAATAATTAAGTCCGTGAAAATAATGTTTGTGGCATTAAGGTCCGTGAATAATTATAAAGTCCGGTCAAATAACAAATAATCCGATAAGGTTTCATGTATTACGTCGTGACCCCCATTGTCGTAATTTTCACTAAGAGTAAGTATTGTGTTACCTGGGGACCTCAGGCTATTATGTTCATAATAGAGATTCGGCGGAATGACAGGCTGAACGCGGCCCAGTAAGTATTGTGGCGAAAGCCACGATACAGCCGCGCACTCGCTCGTGCGCGGCGCAGGTTAGGTCTACATGCTACAGCGTATGACAAAATAAAGAAATAAGGTAAACTATTCGGTAATCTGTTGATGGTCACTTAATGCACAGTTAAGGCACAGTAAAAATCGAGTTTCTATTTGACCACACCGTGTTTTAATAATCACTTAGCCTCTGATACACACTCCACAAACGAAGGCGACTAGGTGCTGCCTAGGTTTCTAATTGCTAATGTTATTCATGTAATCAAATTACATCAAAAAGGTCTCTGGTCTGCAGCATTTGTCTCTAAGAGATGGCAAGGGACTCTTCCTCTTACCATCATACAACCTGCTTCAATTGCCATTCTTCGCGTTCGTTGCTAGATTTCATTCTTTAGTAGTAAAGTAGTAATAATCGAAATATATTTAAATTCTGAACCCTTGCCTGTGAATCGATAAATACTATAATTCCATTTAATTTATTGGGGTATTTAAAAAGTATACTTAATGCAGGCCAACAAGACGAATTAATCCTCTTCGCGTTTTATTGTATTAAATGTTATTTAGATTTTACTTTTATTTTTAAATCAAGAATAGAAGTTTAGCCACTTTTTATTCTGTAACAGATTCTGCAAAGATTTGGCACGGTGCCGCTTTATTTGTGGCACTGAGAGCATACTCTTTCAGGGATTAGACAAATGCACTGGACAGAATTCATGAGCGGGACTGCGAGCATACTCTTTTCTTTCACCAAATTGATGCGATATTATTGAAAAGTTGAAATAAGCTGCATCAGGACAAAAATGCTGGTTTGAATACAATGACAATCTTTGGATCTGACTCTAAATTTGAAATGTTGCTGATGCCACCACAGTCTAGTATTAGTATATAGCTGAGTCGGAAATCTTACTGCGTCCACGTAACGTACGTGGAGCAGCAAAATGATTGTCAATAATGGAAGCTTGCGCCGTTTCCATGGTAACGCTGCAGTGTGCACGTGTAATGTTATAACGCGCGTATAACGCGCGCCTTCATATCTTCATCGCGGTTCGTGGTTACAAATTAAAATAATTTAATGAGTTCGACCGTCGCATACGGAATCCAGATGGAATAACAACAAATGGGTTCATGCTGCAGCAATGTATGTGTATTCACTCACGATGCGGTGAATGACTTAAAATGGAAATATGACAACTTTTCTTCTCCAATCCGATCAAGAGGCTGCCTTTGCTGGAAAAAGGGAAGCAAAATTTCTCAAAGGACTGAGGATAACTCTCAATTTACTCAAACCGAAGAAGTCGTTTTCAAGCTCATGGAAAAGCCAAATGTGCAGTTGAAGCTATTGAGTAATGAAATCGATAATAATAATAAAAGAAACAGAAATTGGTCAACAGAAGCGAAGCACTCGCATATTTCTCTTGTATCAGTATGTCAACGTGGAAGCTCTACTGTTGGTAACACTAGATCAATCGAAGAAGTTTTGGCAGTGATCGAGCGAGTTCAAAATCTGTGTAATAAGGCAAGTTTGCAGGATCAACTGTCACTACTCTGTACTGTAGGTTTTCTCAGAGAATACTGTCTAATGCTCAATGATGATACAATCGGTGGAAGAAAAAAGTCCGATAGCAGTGTTACTGACGACAACGCTCGTTTTTGGGTTACTGCATACGATTACAGTGGAAAAAATAAAGACCACGGTATTACGAAGTTTAAGAAGATAGCCATGGCCGTTAAAACGGCGCGGGTATTTACCCGTATGACCAGATCATCACTCTTATCACATTCTTCTTCTACAGAAAGTATTTATGAACCGGTCGGCTTGACAAATCAATTCCGTCAGTTCCTCGATAAAAACCTGCTCAGTTGGAATTTTGATCAGTTGTTGTTTGACAAGCTGACAAATAATCATGGTTTATCGTTATTGTTTCTTAAGATTCTGCAGGCAACGGATCTGTTTAAAGAGTTCAAGATAAACAAAGAAAAGATGAACAAATTTTGTTTGGCAGTGGAGAGAGGGTATCAACAGCATAACAATCCTTACCATAACGAACGACACGGAGCAGATGTGTTACAAACTGCTTATTTTATCATCGTAGATACCAAGGTTAGATCTTTAGATATCATTTTCAAATTATTTGTTTTAGATGCCATTCCATTAGTTAGGGTTAAAAAGTTCTTTTCAAAGTTTCAAAGCAGGTGCCCATTTACTCCAAAGTTGACTAATACACATTTTTTCGATGTATAGCAAATAATACTTTGTAACCTCGTTGATGGAACGGAATACAAATGATACATATCCATGACGTACCAATGAAATAGATTTAGTTATCATCAAGTATCAACCACCCAGATCAAAGATTGGCTGAGTAGCCTGGAGTTACTTTCCCTCCTCTTCGCAGCTATGATACACGATTTGGAACACACGGGAACTAACAACATTTTCCACACGCAGTCTTCTTCAAGTCTATCGCTGCTCTACAATGATAAGTCGGTGTTGGAAAATCATCACGTTAGCAGGTTCTTAATTAATTTTAAACGTAGATATCTTCCATAGCAGAAAATCCAGCTGTGGTCCCGATGTTACTAGTTTATCGTTTACTTTCTTAAGTGGGCCATTTTCTTAGTCTTCGATCTTAGCTATTCTTGCAATTGTTTTTATTGATATATTAGTCATGTTAGTGATGATATTTATCAACTGTATACAGGGCTTACATACTCATGTCTGATCCAGAGTTAAACCCGTTCGAGGCGATGTCAAAAGCACAGTTTCAGAGCATGAGACAAATAGTTGTGGACTGTGTTCTGGCTACTGACATGGCCCACCACTTTAACCAGGTTATAAATCTATTTATAGAATTGGTGGACTCATTATAATCACTAGCAGGAACCCTAAAGTGGTGTCAAGACTCAAAAGACTAAAATAATTATTACCTATTTAATTCGCGTTTTTGACACCACTTGGGGGTCCAAATTTTGGGCTCTAAAACTCCTATTTCTTGTCCAATTTTTTATTTTTTCATGCTGATTTGAAGGCCATTAAAGCATTTGACCCAGTCAAAAAAGTTTCAGTTGTATATCTTTTACGGTTTTTGCGGAAAGTCGTGTTAAAGTTGATGCCGTGGTGTCAGTAAAATGGCACGGATAAATAAATATATATATATCGTCTCGCTTTATATATAGTAAGATAAACCAAACTGATTTTAGTTTGATTAACTTAAATGACATAATGCTAAAGACTTTAGCCTAAAGTACTCTCACGAATTTCAGACTATTCGGGAAGTCAGACTGGCATAAATATAATTACACTTCTTGAAATGGCTAACTTGATATAAGTTTGATTTACTCATGAAGTTATACTATGTACTACGATATTATGTTTTTTTGTTTGGTTGAATAATTTTCATTTAACTGATTGGGATCTGACATTTTGTCATGATCTTTCTAATTTCTAATTTCTAATACTACCCCTTCATCACTCATGATCATAGGTAACCACTCTCAAGAATTCCTTGATCGACCTCTCGCTGATTGAAAGACAGGACGTTATGAACAGCATTTTGCACTGTGCCGATATATCTGGACCCGGTAAATGCTGGAACATTCATGAGAATTGGACTCTGCTACTCATGCAGGAATTCTTCGCACAGGTAATACAGCTCCTTCGGAGAGTTATCGTTATACATAATGATATTTGTCTCGATGAGATTTGTAACGCTAGTTAATCTAGATGTCAGACACAATAATTGTAGAAGTATGACAAAAATTAAGAATTAAAATTTGTATTCGAAAACAAACCATACATCATAAATCACCAATCATTGCACACCAGGGTGACGAAGAGAAAAAATTGGGTCTTCCCATCTCCCCACTCTGTGACAGACAAACCACCAACATCCCAGAGTCTCAGGTCGGATTCATCACCTACATCACAACGCCCGCCTTCACGGCACTCGGTAACACCATAGACGCTATCCTCAGAGAAAAGGAAGAGCGAGAGTTTCTGGAATTCTCTACGTCCTGGGTTAATACTAAACAAAGAAGGGGGTCAACTGTTACTCAGATGACACCGATAGAAGAAAATCCATATCACCAGCTAGTGAGCCAGAGCCCCTTATCTTTGGCGCCTGAACGAGTAGGAAGCGCTGGAATTACTCAATCATTCCAATACATGCCAATAAATAGGGTGTGGGACACACATTTCCAGTCAAACCTCGCTCGGTGGAAAGACCGGTTAACGAATTCAAGTTAAACAAACTATATTTGATTTTGTTAAAGAGTGAACTTTTTTAATGAGTTATAGCCAATTTTATATTTATAAGTATAATAATGTATCATCGCAATTTATTTACTAAGAATAACAGGGTATGGATGTATGATACCTAGGCCTGGCTTAACTAATTTATCATGTATCGTAACATTTACTGCTTTACTGTCATCATTTAGAGAGGTACATTCAAAAATCAAAATATCAATCTATCGATAACTTATAGACCGAATGCAAATGTTTGAGTGACTGCGTTAATGAAAAATGAATTTTACATCCCTCTCTTGCTCTTTTGGCCTTGGTATCTAACGAACCTGGCACTGATCCCAAACAAGAACTTTACGACGAAGTTGCTTGTAACAATTAATACCGCAATATAATCATGTGCGAGCATCCCTCCAAAACTAGCCACATTCGGTAAAGCAACTATCACCAGGGATTTGCGGAAACTGAATTTTTCCTCGTGAAGCATGTATGAATAACCTTCCGAGGATAGCTTGTCATACGTTGTATGACCCGCCGCGCACGAAGTGCGCGGCTCCCCGCTCCCCTGTATCGTCCCCCCTGTATCGTCACCATAGTGAAACGACCGTGGGGGTCGCAACGTGATACAAAGGATAGCTGCGCGAACAGCGAAATTGACAAAAACCAAAAGCATGAGTTCCTTTCCAGTTCCTTGAGTCACAGTCACAGAGCAGTCGCTGTTTTACTGGGCGGCGCTCAGCCTGTCATTCCGCCGAATCTCTATTCGTTTATGAACATAATATTAATAGCCTGGGGTCCCCAGGTAATCACTGTTTGGTTTGGCCTCCTTGATCTTGAAGCTTGGATCAACCTTGGAACAAGAATAGTAATCCAGCCCTGGAACATGATTACAAAGCTAAACAATCCGAGTTTTTTAGTTTTGGCAACAAAGTTAGGAACAGTCACCGTTTTTTTCTTCACTGTTTGGTCTTCCTTGTTTTTAATTTGTCACGTCTTCAGTCTTTGGTGCTGCTTTCCCTTCAATACAAAAGTGAAGCATATAAATGGGTGGTATAAAGAAAGGTTACGACGTCAGAACAATGAACATTCTCCATCCTACCACATATTCTATAAGTATAACAGCAGGTATCCCAGAGTCGCCGACCAGACTCCTCCATTAAACTGTACATGAGGCACGGTATCGTCACTATGACGTCAAGAATCTTCTTAGTAGAAATCAGCTCAGCAAGCATGACGCAATGAACATTTAAATGGAGTCCAAGAGCAACCCCGATGAGGGCTCTAGGAAGAAGAAGTGTGGTGTAGTTAGCTACAATAGCACAAACAACTGTGCTGATAATGCTCAAATAGAGGGAGAATAGGGTAGCGAATTTTTACTGTTATGTATAACAATTTAATAATATAAGGTAAAACTATTTGAAATAATATCATCGCTGAAAGTAAATCCTGACTGTATTAAAGTTTATACTTCATTGTAGTCAAATTGAACAAAGATACCTCGTTTATTTTACCTGAGGATGGAGGACCCCAGGCTATAATGTTCATAATTAACATAATATTAATAATAAAGATTCGGCGGAATGTCAGGCTAAGCGCCGCCCAGTAACGGTTATTGTAATGAAAATGAAAATTAAGCCTTAACATATTGGGTTTGGAGATGATCGATGGGACCAATTCATATCATCTAACACAATTATAAACGCGTGTAGTCAGTAGTGCGTATTCAAGTCACGGTTAAACTTAAGTGGTTCACAAGTTCAACTAATTGATAGTAGAATAGTAAAATAGTAAAATACAGCTCTTTAAAACTTTTAACAAACTTCCAAATTTATATTTATATACCGGCCTTGAGTAAATAACAATTGAGTACACTCTAAACTATTAACATTCGTATGTTTTAAATACTTGCAGCTGCCTCAAGGTTCCTCAACACTCATTTCTCTTTGAAATTATAAACTCTCAATATTGTAAGATAAATTTGTCTGTTACTGTTAGTGTTTATCATTCGACTTGTTTAGCATAATTTTTAAAATAAATTGGCAACCACCAATCACAGACCCTCGTTGTATCTGACTGTGTCTTTTCGAGTGGTTACCAACGAGAACTGAAAAAACTCAAAACTTGATAACGTCCCACTTGGAAGTGGAATCGTTCCTCTTTGCCAGTAATGCTCAACGTAGCACAAAGCATACCGACGAATATAGTCAACCCATTTAAAGCGTACACCCTTGACGATGCATATTCAAGATTCAACAGGGTCTATTTGTTTGTTTTTTCCATCATTTGTGGTGCCGTGGTTACTTTGAATGACTATGCTGGTAAGGGGAAGAGTTTAAATTAATTTTTCACCTAAAATCAGCAAAAATCAGCTTTTTGAGGTTAAATTTTGAATAAATATTCAAAAATCGTACTGCTAATGCTATTGTTTCCTCCTTACATCGTTTCAACAGTTACAGTTAACTTTATATTAAAAGTTAGAAGCTAACAATTACCCCGACTCAGACGTGTAACTTGTTTCATTTTAAATATTTTTCTTCCTTGTTAACAGTTTTTGGCTTTTATAAAATAAGGGTCGTCTATAATAACCATCCGACAGGAGAAACAATCGAGTGCCACGGATTCGACATTTTCGCGCTACCCTTCCACGAAAACTACTGCTGGACTCAAGGAATCTACACTCTTCTAGAAGCTTATGATATTCCTAATAACAATAGGCAGATTCCCTACCCAGGGATTATACCAGAGCAAACACCCTGCTTCGATTTCACGTGAGTGACATCATCATGACAACGGGTAATATCCTGTCCAAACCCAGGATACATAATATGAAGACTTTGTTGTAACTTTGTATGAAAAGTATTTGAAATATAAGTAACTAAGTTTAACTAACTGTCTAAAACATTAAATTTAAGAAGCTGCTGATCTCAGTCCTTACTTTTAGAGACCACGAGAATTGTTCTAAGCGACAAAAATATTAAATACTTCTTTTTAAGTTTTTATATTGTTTATGTTATATAGTAACAAATATCAAACTGAAGAAAGGACTGGCGTTGACCGTTTAGGCAGAAAATTATAATTCACCCTCCCAGTGAACTTAACCATAATATGATGTTAACTATCCATATAATCCCTCTGTTTAGGTACTCCAACGGTACGAAGTACGTGTGTCCGAACGCGAGCTCCATCCTCCCTCTTACGAGAGTGTACCACCTGTGGTACCAGTTTATATCGTTCTACTTCTGGGTTTGTGCAGTCGTGTTTTATGTGCCCTATTTGGTGTTCCGTAACTCTGACATTGGTACTCTCAAACCAGTGGGTGAGTTAACATATGATATTAAATTTACAAAACCAACGTGATTCGCGAATTCAGTATTGACGCGTCAATACTGAATAGTTTTCAGAACATTTTGTTTCTGGGCACTGACTAAAACAAACTGTGTGCTCATGTTCGTACGAAAATTTCAGGCTAGGTTCGACTTATGAGGCTCCGCCGAGAAGTAAAGGTACTTTAACAATTATAATATCATCCTAAAACTTGAAACTGAAGGAAAACAGTACAGCTCCATTTACTATAATCACCACGTTTCAGTGCAAATGTTACAAGATCCTGGTTTAAGCAGCGAGGATGAAGAAAACCAGAAAATAGAGAAAGCGAGCAGATGGCTCGCAACAAGACTTTCAACTTTCCTCAAAGCTAAGGGACCTCTCCAGTGGTTCCTGGTCAGACACAAGTTCTTCTTTATCGTGGTGTTCGATAAACTTGCTAACTTGGCTGTGGTGGTGCTGGTCATATACGCCACGGATAAGGTTTGTCTATTGTATGGTTTTAAAAAAACTCAGATTATCATTATTATTTGATGGTGGCCATCATGCTTTTATTAACAGTTATGAAGATGTCTAGGTTGATCTGGTCATGATCATCAAATTGATTCTTATGGTAATCAACTTTATCGCAAGTGACACACATTTTGATAACACTATAACAGAATCCTGAAAATCACTTCAATATCTAAAGATCTAAGCTCATAAAAGTTAAAACCCCCTCTCCAGATGTTTGTGATAACTTCCTACACAACCTACGGCTCAGACTGGCTCATGTCCCTGTCAGGTGACCACCCTTCGTACAAGGACAGTCCACTTGACAAGCTCTTTCCTAAGATGGTAGCTTGTGAGGTTACCAAGTGGGGAACTACGGGACTAGTTAACGAAGCAGGTGAGTACTGAGTTTACTGGGCCACGCTCAGCCTGTCATTCCGCCTAATCTCTATTCCGCCTAATCTCTAGATGTTTATTATTATTCGTTAATTAACTAATCATTGATTTGTGCAGGAATGTGTGTGTTGGCCCCGAATGTAGTTAACTCCTACTTCTTCCTAATTTTCTGGTTTGTCCTGGTTCTGGCACTGATTGTTAACGCGTTTGCAGTTCTTTTTTCCACCACCTCTCATCTGTTTACGTTAGGTTTGTGTTCTGTTGGATACTTTATTTAGAACATAACCTGTGACAATGGCAGAGCAATTATGTTCTATGCTTGAAACTTGAAAAAAGATTTTCGTCAGGATATGTGAACATTAGAATTAAGACTGCACTTGATTTCGGAGATTTTGAAACTACATTTTCTTATAGGAAGATGGAAAGCACTGACGGCTTCAACGTTTATGAAAGGATCAGCACAAGAAAAATGGGTATATTTCACTTCAGGTAACATCAATTTGTATATTTCGTATATTTCACATATTTCATATATTTCATATATTTCACATATTTCACAAATTTCTGAAATACATAGATCGGTCCCGGAAATTTGGGACAGTATGATTTTTTCAATTTTCGTCGGGATTTTGGTTCCTAGTACCTCAATTTGGTTTCAAACAATCATCAATTAACTGAATAATTGGTCTCTGGGCAAAAATTCTAACCAATCTGTCAAATTTGTATTCAGAAATTTTCATATTTGAAAATGGGACAGAATTTGGAAAATATGAATTTTCGTTTTGTTAACTTTTCTGCAGTGATCGCTTCCTCCGATCGAAATGAAACTTCCAGCACCTCAATAGTGTCATATGCCACCTATAGATGACTGACTAATTGATTTTGGGTAAAAATTCAGTTAAACTGTAAAATATCGGTCCTGGAAAGTTCATCTTCAAAATCCGAAAATGGGACAGAATTTGGATTTTGGGACAATATGATTTTTCAATTTCGTCGGGATTTTGGCTTCTAGTACCTCTATTTGGTTTCATACAATCATCAATTAACTGACTAATTGGTCTCTGGGCAAAAATTCTATCCAATCTGTCAAATTTGTGTTCAGAAATTTTCATATTTGAAAATGGGACAGAATTTGGAAAATATGAATTTTCGTTTTGTTAAGTTTTCTGCAGTGAGCTTCCTCCGACCGAAATCAAACTTCCAGTACCTCAATCGTGTCATATACCACCTTAAGGGGGCATACCCCAAAACAGTGGTTTGTGCCGTCCAGACCAAATGACCTCATAGGCAGTTCAGTGACCTTCTAGCGCACAGTTTCCACACCAAAAAAAAATTATTTTGAGAATTCCCATATTTGTAATCGAGCATTTCCTGGTTAAGAAGTGCAATTTTCGGAAAAAATTATTTTGTGGTTGAGACGCTATAAGTTAATCATTTCTTGCGGTATCGGGTTGAAATTTTGCTCGCCGTTTATTCACATCTATGTCAAGGTGTGTGTAAAATCTTGATATCGTATCTAAAAAGGCTGGTGTGTTATGAATTTTTAAAGTCAAAAAGCTAAAATTGTCCTTTTCAGGCTTATTTTAACAAAAAGTCAGTCAGGGAAGATCGGATTATTTGATGCTTGAAATCAAATTGTTCTCTAAATTCTGGCGCAGTTTTTGATGCCCTCAAAAATGTTTTTACTCATTCACCTTCTGATCTATTGGACCTCAAAGCCAAACAACAAATTTAGGCACATTTTTCGTTTTTAATATTTACTGATTTTTCTAAAATTTGATAGGAATGTGCTAGTGACTTTTTGAAGGGTGCAAAATAACCGCAACTAGCACATTTATATATGAGTTATGAACAACAAAACATCTTAAAATGCTTCCCTTTGAAGTTATGGGAGAAAATGTGATTTTTTGGCTTTGCAGATAAAAAATCACATTTTCATCAAGCCTGAAAAGGACAATTTTAGCTTTTTGACTTTAAAAATTCATAACACCCCAGCCTTTTTAGATACGATATCAAGATTTTACACACACCTTGACATAGATGTGAATAAACGGCGAGCAAAATTTCAACCCGATACCGCAAGAAATGATTAACTTATAGCGTCTCAACCACAAAATATTTTTTTCCGAAAATTGCACTCTAAACCAGGAAATGGTCGATTACAAAAATGGGAATTCTCAAAATGATTTTTTTTTTGTGAAAACGGTGCGCTAGAAGGTCACTGAACTGCCTAAGAGGTCATTTGGTCTGGACAGATTTGGGGTATGCCCCCTTAAGTTGACTGACTAATTAGTTTTGGGTGAAAAATTCAGTTAAAACTGTTAAATATCGGTCCTGGAAAGTTCATCTTCAAAATCCGAAAATGGGACAGAATTTGGGACAACATGATTTTTCAATTTTCGTCGGGATTTTGGTTTCTAATACCTCAATTTGGTTTCATACAATCATCAATTAACTGACTAATTGGTCTCTGGGGAAAAATTCTATACAATCTGTCAAATTTGTGTTCAGAAATTTTCATATTTGAAAATGGGACAGAATTAGGAAAATATGAATTTTCGTTTTGTTAAGTTTTCTGCAGTGAGCTTCCTCCGATCGAAATCAAACTTCCACCACCTCAATCGTGTCATATGCTACCTAAACATGACTGACTAATTGGTTTTGGGTGAAAAATTCAGTTAAAACTGTAAAATATCGGTCCTGGAAAGTTTATCTTCTAAATCCGAAAATGGGACAGAATTTGGGACAATATGATTTTTCAATTTTCGTCGAGACTTTGGCTTCTAGTACCTCAATTTGGTTTCATACAATCATCAATTAACTGACTAATTGGTCTCTTGGCAAAAATTCTATCCAATCTGTCAAATTTGTGTTAAGAAATTTTCATATTTAAAATGGGACACAATTTGGAAAATATGAATTTTCGTTTTGTTAGGTTTTTTGCAGTGAGCTTTCTCCGACCGAAATCAAACTTCCAGCACCTCAATCGTGTCATAAGCCAACTATAGTTGACTGAATGATTGGTTTTGGGTTAAAAATTCAGTTAAAACTATAAAATATCGGTCCTGGAAGTTCATCTTTAAAAATCGAAAATGGGACAGAATTTGGTACAATATATATGGTGTTTAAATTTTTTCCGCAATTTGACTTTGTGAACCTTAAATTGCTTAATTACTAAATTTTAACTGAACGACAAGAATTATATGTTATAATTAACTAATATTTATTAATTATTTCAAGGACTTAGTGGACAGATTACAATAGACATCATAGCCGCCAACCTTTCACCAAGAACGTTTGAGAAGGTTTTTAAACGGACATCTGAGAAACTGGCAGACATGGAAAAAAGCGAGTATAACATATATAGTAATAGAAATAATAATCGAAATGTTGCCGAGGTGCTCCCAACTGTGAATAAGTAATAAATAAACTGAATAGATTTGTGTTCAGCCTCTGAAAATGAACATTTTACTCTGAGTCTTAACTTCTGAGTTATATTGGACGATTTAATCTAATTTAGTTTGCTTTTCTTCAGAAAAATCGATGATTATTTCTAAAACTAACGAATGTTCACAATTAAGTACACTTTGTTTCTGTTGGTTGGAAATTGCGAATTTTACCGAAATACAATTTATAGTTCAATATATTATTATCTGTAAATTGTAATGAAGTTCTAACACTTAAACCTTATGATTGTCAGTGTCTCGAACAAGATCTAAATGCTCATAAAACAGAATATATTATCAATTAGGTTTAAAATCTGATATCAGTTACTAAAATTGTTAAAATGCCTGTTACCATTTATCAATATGCCTCAAAAATATTAGCAAAAGCGGAAAATACATGGAGGCATCAAAATTCAAGTGACAATACTTCAGAATAGATTATTACAACTGAAATGTTTGAAAAGTTGTCTTCTGGTCGCAATGATATTTATTAACAGTTTCTGTAATATCATTCAAAACTTGAAGACTTTGAAAAGTTAACTCTCGCGTAATATTTAAGAATTTAATTTAATTTAATTAAAGAATATTCATCTCTAGATCAGATTTAAATTCTAAAATACTTCAATTATTTCATAACAGTTTCCCGCAAAGTGTGACCGACCGTGATCTTCGTGGAGATCTTCACTTTCTAACAGATTTGGGGAATTATTTGACGGACAATTCTACCTCCACGTCTCAAATAGACACAGTTAACTATACTGGAATCTTGAAATCCTGTTAATCTTCATTAAGATACACTTGCAGTGGTATCCCTAGGGGACATCAGACCTTCAGATCATTGCAGGAAAGGGAGGTTTTTGGTCCGAGTAAGGGAGAGGTATTCGCTGGTCGATGTCTTCTGGTCCTGAAATTAAAATGTATTTAAATTTCCAGTTTTCCCTTAATTTTGTTTTTTTTTGTCTTAATTTTAGCGCACATATATAGGGGAAAAATAAAGGATTTGCATGGCCTAAATGTAGGTGATCAGATCATCATAATACTTTAATACCATTCATTCGAATTTCGAATGGACCAAATAGTTTTAACTCAAAGGATGTAAACTATTTTTGATCCACCCAACCAAACCAAATAGTCTTAATTATGATATAAAATAGGTTATTGATAGTTTAGTTTTTACCCACCTAACCAGGCCGAAGGAAACTCTGTGTAGGGTTCCTCTCCTGCAGCTATTCTCATAGCGGTCCCTAACGCTGCTGTATTGGTACCCAGGTTACCTACGTCGTGTCCTGAAAACGGCAAAATACGTCATACAAATAGTACGGGCCAATGGCTAGTTTTCACCCTCTTGAGTGGGTGGATGATAGTTTACATACGGAGAAAAAATGGGAGTCCCCACCATTAAGATTACACATATAACATAATGGAAATCAGATTTTTGGTCACATTTTCTGGTCGCATTAACCATCAATGTGAACAGAATAATATATTGGTAAGAGTAAGACATCAGTTTCACGCTATATTGAAGTATCTAAACTGGACTAACCGGGAAAGTGGCTGGAGAAGAGGGGTGCAGGCTGGGCCGGGCCCATGAAGGGAGGTCTGATGTGGCCGTTGACAAACGCGTGATTAGAGACGGAAGTTCTCATGAAGTCTCCAGTGTGAAGTCCGAGACGGATCATGCTGTTCGGGCTGGGGCAACCAGGGTAGGGTGGAGCTATCTGGTTCCTGTCCATCATTGTATCTGTAAGCATTTCAGCATTTGGTCAAAAATCCAATTTCATAATTCATGTGGTGCCCTATATATTATGGTAAATGGCAAACATCATTTGGTAAGATATGACCTATATAGTATATTCATAGTGAGTTTCATAATATTCAGTAATATAATTTGAGTCCAAGCGAAAGACTAACTAACCATTTCCGGGAGGTCCTGGGAAGCAGGAGTTGGGCGAAGGAAACTCTGGCTGCTCTAACTTAACATCTCCTGAAAGTGGGGTACCTGGACCCGCTCGGACAGGCCGCGCTTGTGGTCGGTTCTTTCGTAGGTTCTTCAGGTATTGACCCCAACGGTTCCTGGGCGCTTCCTTCTTCATTCGTTTCTCTTTTGCTCTCCTGAGGTACCGAGGGTTACAATTTGGAGAAGGAAAAACCGAAAATATCATTGAATTGGTAATATTGGATTTTTAAATATACACCCTTGAAAAGCAGACAGTATGCCGTATCCCCTCCTGAACCCCCCTCCTGAACACATCCCTGAAGAAGCTATAATAGCCCCGCACCTGGCACACACTCGCAGGCCCCTTGTGAAGCTTCACAACACCGTCCACCCCACGTGACGAGCTAGTCACGTGATACAGCTCCGAGCTAGACTCTGGGATCTTACTAAACACATGTCGCGGCAGCTTCGCGCCTGCCCGACCAATCAAAAAGCAGTCTAGCACCTGTCACGTGCTAGAAACCGGCCAGTCACATGGGTTTCTATGACGACATCTGACTAGCACGTGATGTTTGTTAACCATTGAGCGGTCGGAGAAGCTCCGCGGGAGGCTTGTTCATTAATTAAGAGCGAGAGATGGAGACGGAGTATGTGTATATAGTATATCGGAGTCGCTGAAGCGATTTTCGGAACACAATGGCCCGGCTGCAAGCCGAAATTGCCAGGTGTTGGAAATATGGAGATGGCATTTGAGCCAGCCGGGCAAGGAGTTTAGATGGTAAGCTATAAGTATAATCCACTCGCCGTAAAACCCGAATATCAGAGCAAGACGGAATAACGTCATCAAACGGCATCAAACTAGGTACGAAACACGACTATTTAACTTGTGAGCTAAACTAAAGAGTTAAGTAGTTAACTGACCTGTTTTGGAACCACACTTGTACCACCCTCATGTCCAGCCCCGTCTCCGAACTCAGCTGTTCTCTCACGTGACGTGCTGAGCAGATTATCAGAATTAGGATTTATAAGATTTATCATTTAAAAGATCGAACATGATCAGGGTTATTATATAATATGGGGTAAATTAAATTCTTGTTGTAATGACAAATTTTAGGACTATAAAAACAGTTTTTTATCTAAAGAATTTTGCTAAAATCTTGTGAATTTTGTAATGGTATATTAATTAAGTTAACCGTGGTATAAATATGAAAATCTATTATATTCATCTTATCAGAGTTATCTTTATATCAAAATACCTGTAGCAAACCATCCTTAGTTTACAGTACTGTTTACATTTAATTCTATAGTTTTAAATTTCATAATGAATTCCCACCACATGTCAAAACAAATATGGTTCACCTCCTCACGTCTCCAAATTTAAAATTCTTCACTCTACCTGGTTTCGGACTGTTTTCGTAGGCTGTCTTCAGTGTCTCTAGCTGTTTAGCGGTGATGGTGGTTCGGGGTCTCTTGATACCCTGGTTCTCCAGATCCAGCTCATCAGTGAACGTTTCATCTGGACAATTGGCGTATTGGGCTGAAAAAGATTTAGCTACAATTTACAAATACAATTTACACAAATAATTTACACATACAATTTACACATACAATTTACACATACAATTTACACATACAATTTACACATACAATTTACACATACAATTTACACATACAATTTACACATACAATTTACACATACAATTTACACAATTAATTTACACATACAATTTACAAATACAATTTACACATACAATTTACAAATACAATTTACACAATTAATTTACACATACAATTTACACATACAATTTACACAAATAATTTACACATACAATTTACACATACAATTTACACATACAATTTACACATACAATTTACACATACAATTTACACATACAATTTACACATACAATTTACACATACAATTTACACATACAATTTACACATACAATTTACACATACAATTTACACAAATAATTTACACGGAGACTGTGAGGCACACACAGACTTGTACACAGCCTTACACAACAGATAGAGTGAAAGTGATTTTATCTAAAACACATGCCAGCTAAATTTCAAACTTAAATCTCATCCAGTTAATCATGTCAACATTGAAACTATCACGTGACTTCACGGACAACCCTTAATAAAGCCCCTTATTTTCATAGAAACTTCCAGATCTCTCCCCAGGAGTCTGATGATCTGTCTCAAGGAACCATGTCCCGGTGGTGATCTATACACAAACAATAACTATAACACAGAGCAGCTGCACTAGATTGGGGGCAGACACCCAGACATTAAGGTCACTCTCCTAAAGCCACGAGAATGTTCTATAAATAGCTCTGATCAGACCTCCAACACATCCATAACAAGACCAGGACTATAGATGTGGATACTGGTTTATATTTGTTTTGACACGTGACAGTGATTCTGGTTTTTGATTGGTCAGTGATGACCTGCTGTCACATTTCAAAACAAATGTGTTTCACCTCCCCACCAGCATCCAAATCGCAAACCTGGTGTTCACCAGAGTTCACAGCTGAAATCCAGGATGGGTGTTATGATCCAACACCACCTGGTTGGGTTTGTTTGGGAAACCTGAACTGGCCCCTACTCGGCAGTATACTCGAGTACCAATTCATCTGGTCTCATATTATTCATCATAACCAAGATAACAACGCTACTCACCGGTTCATTTAAATTGGAATTCCATCTTCACTACAATTCATATTTCATAACAAATTGGAGAACGTGTGTTTCCAATGATTTTGTTTTGATCGGTAGGAATGAGTTGTAGACTTTGGGGCTCCATGATACCGTTACCATTTTTGCAAAAACAACCATTCCGGTAAGGAAAACCTGTGGGCCAACCAGAAGATTGCATGGCTAATTTATGCCTGGTCTAAATATTGTTACTCAGAATTTGACAACAAGATTTTGTCCTTCACTGTAGGAAGCGACGTTTTAGCCTACAGAAAATAGTGTGGTACAAATCAGTATGGCATTACTATCCAGGAGGTGACCGGGACATGATTTTAGGCCTGACCGGGACCGGGACCGGGACCGGGATACAAAATGTGACTTGACCGGGACCGGGACCGGGACCGGGACTGAGATTATCAATTTACCGTGACCGGGACCGGGACCGGGACCAATAATTTCTGGGATTTCTATCTTACCGGGACCGGGACCGGGACCGGGACCAACAATCCAATTTTACCGGGATGACCGGGATTTGACCGGGATGACCGGGATGACCGGGATGACCGGGATTTGACCGGGATTTGACCGGGATGACCGGGATGACCGGGACCAAAACTGGTATTCTCATATTGAAAGCTGCAACTTTCATTTACATTATAATTGAACAATTTGAATAAGTAATAACTAGAATATTAAATTAGAAAAAACTAGAAAAAACCCGTCAATATGGGGCATGGGCCTAATGTACTACACCAATAATGTTCATGTACTGATTACTCAAGTTCACCATCATTCCTCATTCCTCAATCAATGATCCCTCAAATTATTCAACAGTTTCATTCTCCAATTCCAATTGACAATTGGGCGTAGCCCGAGTTGAAAACTTGATGTTAGTTTGCACTTATGAGTTATGTAACGATATTAGTTACCTAAACTTGTTTAGCAATTTTAAACATTGTTTTATTTGGCTCAGAGGTTGTTTAAAGATGAAATTCACAATGAATGAAAGTAAAAACTTAAAATCACAGTGAATGAAATTATGTAAAAGATCCCGGTCAAAATCCCGGCAAATTTGAGTGATTGACACGGACCAGGACCGGGACCGGGACCAAGAATCCTGAATTAACCGGGACCGGGACCGGGACCGGGATCATAAATCAGCATTTGACCGGGACCGGGACCGCGACCGGGATGAAAAATGTGACTTGACCCGGTTTACCGGGACCGGGACCGGGATAGCTCAAAATTGCCAATCCCGGTACCGGGATTCCCGGTACCGGGAATCCCGGTCACCTCCTGTTACTATCTACACAAAAGTATCAGTCTAATGTGATGAAACACCTTCAATGGCCCGGTGAAGATCACTCATATTGTTGGAAGTAATCTGGATACAACCACAATTTTCAATGATATAAGGTCCAAGAATCACTCTCTGCAATATCCTGCAATTCTTATACCTTTTTACACTTTTCAACAGAAAAAAACGATGACTTTATGTTTTACTTGAGCATTTATACTTTTATACTTGTAACCATATTTTGTTCAATCAATCAATGTTTTTAAGCGGAGTAGGTTTTCAGTAAAGCCAGCACAATCAACCAGCCCGCTACCCTAACCAGTCCCACACTTACAAATACAGTAAAAATACAGACTCCCAATCACCGTTAGTCTTCCTCACTCTCACACCCAATCACAACTCCCCATCCTCCCTCACAACCAATCTCTGCCCTCCAACCTCACACAGATCCGACCAATAGAAACCACCCGTTTTCATCTGGAGGGTTTGTGCGCCCACGTGACTCGTGAAGTCACGTGAACGCGCAGACCTTGCTTGTTCACGTGGGCTCCTCTTGATGAGATTAAATGTCGCACGGGGGCGAGATTTGCCAAGATTCCCAAGCTATGTCGACATGGGGGAACTTTACCCCGGGGTACTGTACTGATGAAAGTCGGGCAACACAATATGGACGTTATATTGAGCCATGGATATTACAGGGAACTGTGTCAAGTTAACACTTATTGTGACACGTATTGTGACAATCAGGGGGACGTAGAGATGAGATATCTTGCAGGGAGATACGAAGTGGGGATGAGATATCTTGCAGGGAGATACGAAGTGGAGATGAGATATCTTGCAGGGAGATACGAAGTGGAGATGAGATATCTTGCAGTTTTTTGGGAAAAAAGGACGGCGCAGCTGGAGTTGGATATTGAGTTGTGGTTGACTTTTTGGTTGAAAGTAGATCGGGACACATAAAATAGCCTTTAGTTTTACGACACAGTAACAACGATGACAAGGATTACAACATCCCATCAGTGTGTTCGTATAATGATGATGTTGACACTGTTGAGTGATTGGCACTCGCGATGGTGGTTATGATCAATCAACAGAAAGATAGATCATAGAACAGACATAAAACTAAAACAAGGTAAAATCATGCAACCAAAATGTAAAACCCACCAAAAGGACACAAAAACGTCATATATTTGTACAACTGGACTTACTTTTAAAGTTATCATAGTCAGACCGGCACACTAACTGGTTGTCATCCACAAAGTAAAACTCGTCGCCAGTGTTCAGAGTCCGCGAACAGATTATACAAACGAAACAATCCATGTGGAATACATGTCCACCTGCTCTTCGGACCACCTGAAATAAGGGAGTTTAGAAAGGAGTTAACTAGTTAATTAGAAAAGTTGGGGATGTTTGATTCATAGTATTGTTTGTTTTGCGAGAATAGTGTCATTTGTTTGGCGAATGAGTGTAATGTGGGTTGAAAAGAATGGGACCACATGGAGTTGGAAAACAATGAGCTACTGTATCACAAACAGTGGTATTTCTTTAATCTCAGGAAATCAGCACAATTAAAGTTACAATTACAAGGACCAAGAGTAGGGTAATACTAATGAGTGTTAGTGAAATTAAACGACTAATTAATTCCCTCTTATTAATGATAGAGTAATCAATGTTAACAGATGTTCAGTGGATATACAACAGCATGGGTATCTTAACAAGTAGGTGTGTAAAAAGTTCCAAGAACTAAGATTATTATCATTCAATTATTATTCAATTAACTAATTGTGTTGCCAACTGGATTCTAACCAAAATAAGTTTCCTTTTATTGTCTGAGATCAATATTATTATGTATCAGAGGTACAAGAACGAAAGTGAAAGACAGCTTCATTAGCGAGGACTTCCATTAAGATTGATTATTGTAATTATGTATTGTATTGTATTGATGTATTATGTATATCCTGTAAATTTTTCCAGAAAAGAAATTAAATAATTGTGTAATTGGTTAATTAAAAAACATACGATAAGGACAATATCTTACCTGACTGGGAGGGATTACTTTCTCGCACTTAGCACACTTAGTTCCGTATCTCCTGCAAAGATAGGTATAAAAATATAACGATATAAAAATATGGTACCTTACTCGGGATTATTATGACCGGGATAAAGTGGCGGGTTTAGGGTAATTTCGCCATATTTTTCCCGAACCACATTTTCACCGGTCGTTAATAAACCCGCCGTCTCAGCTTTTGGGGTTCCCAAGGGGTATGGGTGCTCATATTTTAATCGTTGTCTTATATTCACTAAAGAAGACTATTGGGACACTTGTTGTAGGTTTTTCGACTTCATTTGGCTAAAATTGCAAAAAATTCACCTTTTGCCCAATTCTTGTCATATATCCTTATTGTCAAAGTTGATTTAAATAGGCCAATTTTTAATCTCTTAGGTATTGACTATCTCTACATAATGAAATAGGACTCAAAGTAAAAGTAACAGTTAAATTAAAACTTGAATTAATTAAAACTGTCAATAACATGAATCAGTTTCATCAGTCATTTATTCATAATTCTAAACAATGTGAACGATGCATTCTTTCGAAGATTTTCTACAAATTGAGTCATAATGGTTATTTGATACACGTAAAAATTTAATACTAATTCAAAACAACGAATTTGCTAGAGTGCTAGACTATAACCAACACGTTACTACCAGTACCAGCAGAAAGGGGATCACAATTATTGATAATTCGACTTGTTTCACAAGTTTTAGCAATGCGAAAATTTCTAAACTTGCTTATCTCTAATAAGGAAATTTACATCTGAGACAAAATTTTTGAATCTAAAACTGAAAGGTTGGACACCGGTAAAATGGCGACCGGGAAAATGTGATGGGTTTTGAGCAATTTCGCCATATTTTTCCCGAACCATATTTTAACCGGTCGTTAATAAACCCGTCGATATAATCCCGAGTAAGGTAATTAACATTTATCATTTTATTAGGTTTTATCTAATGCTTTTAATTACCTTCGTTATCAATATCAGTATCTAAAAAAATTATCGGGTGTTTGTTTTTATGCAATTCATATGCCATATTACAGCTCATTGAATACCTATCAAACTATTCATTGCAGCCTTCCCTTTGTGAGTGAAAGCTCTAAAAATACGAATTAGATAATATCAAACGTGTTTTTGTTAATTTGGAAGGCTTTATATGGCTGGTTTTGTGCCTAGAGATGGTTTTATAGTTATACCAAAATAAATTTCTAATTTCAATTATTCATAATACTATTCCGCTGACTATAATGTTACGTATTCATTGAACTACCTAACAGATAGTTAGGAGTGCTAACTGGTTGTTTAGGGGTCCCATTTAATGCTAACTGGGTGTTTAGGGGTCCCATTTAATGCTAACTGGGTGTTTAGGGGTCCCATTTAACGCTAACTGGGTGTTTAGGGGTCCCATTTAATGCTAACTGGTTGTTTAGGGGTCCCATTTAACGCTAACCAATCACTACTCCAAATTGAATTGATTGTCGTTCCAGCCAACCACTACTAAATAGATGCAGAATCTGGCAGAATCTGGCAGCATCTCAAATCTCAAAATTTTGCGATAGTGAGGCAACGGAGAAGTATGGTATTGAGTATTCCTATAAAGTATTGAGTACCTATTTAACTAAAAGTTAAAGGGATCGTTCATACATTACGCAACCTAGCTGCCAGCTCGGGAATTTGATGTGGCAATGCACTTACGCTGGTGTAATCTCTGACTCTATAGAGATTACGCTGGTGTAATTTCTGACTCTATATAGATTACGCCGGTGTTATCTCTGACTCTATATAGATTACGCGAGTGTAATTTCTGACTCTATATAGATTACGCTGGTGTAATCTCTGACTCTATATAGATTACGCTGGTGTAATCTCTGACTCTATATAGATTACGCTGGTGTAATCTCTGACTCTATATAGATTACGCTAGTGTAATCTCTGACTCTATATAGATTACGCTGGTGTAATCTCTGACTCTATATAGATTACGCTAGTGTAATCTCTGACTCTATATAGATTACGCTGGTGTAATCTCTGACTCTATATAGATTACGCTGGTGTAATCTCTGACTCTATATAGATTACGCTGGTGTAATCTCTGTACTATAGCTATGTGTAAAGTGGCTCACTGAAGGGGGAGGGGACTAAAAAGGCCAACATCTGGCTTACTATAATCTATCTAAAGAAATCAGATTTTTTAAGGGATGTTTTAGAAACACAAGTTTGAACTCCTTTCCGGTCCGGTTAAGCACATCAAAATGTTTGATTCAGCAAAAATGACTAAGATCAAAATAACAAAATGATTAAAATTGCATTGCATCAAATAAAAACGGAAAATCTTGACAGTTAGGAGTTATTGAACTAACTTGTAAAAGTCGTCCTTGCAGTATACAAAGTCGCCTCGACTGAAACACTTGTCTGTCAGCTGGGCGAGACAGTCGTGACACTTTAGACACGCGCTGTGCCAGTTCTTTTCCATTACTTTTAGGATAAACCTGAGGTTAAACGAGGTTAGATACGTGCTCTGTCAGTTCTTCTGAACTCTAAAGTAAATAAAGTTGACAATCTACGTAATAAATAAAAACACGTGGTTATTAGTTTAAGAGACAGTGGAAGTGAAAGTAAGTTTACCAGCCTGTGATTGGATAGCAGACGTGGGAGTTAAACTGAACGTGGAAGTAAAATTGAAAGTTAATTAACCTGTCAGTGATTGGTTGATCGCAACCCGCGCATCTGGGAACAACTGCACCTGTTACGTCACCACATTGAAACGATGTCTGCTCAAACTTTACTGCAGAAGAATGAATATTGTTAATTATTTGTTAGATCAATTTTTTACTTTTCTTGTGTTACTTTTTTAATCTAATGGACCTCTATTAATATCCCAATTCAAATGTGCACAACACAGTACATTTCGGCTATACTTTCTTAAATACACGAAGAATTGCTCTGACGGCGAGGCTAAATAACCTGCGGTCGTGACCAATCATGAAGTGATGATCTCAAATCGAACACTATTATTATTACGCTCTGTATAAGACACCGACGGTTAATCACATTTTGAGTTAATGAGTGCCAGTAAAGATTTAAAGTGCCAGATTTTAAGTAATTTAAAGAGTTAAAGAACGTAATGTGCTAGATTTAAAGTAAGATTTAAACTAATTTAAAGAGTTAAGGAACGTAATGTGCCAGATTTTAGGCAAGAGTTAAAGTGTCAGATTTTAAGTAAAGAGTTTCGGTGTCAATACCAAAGTCTCCAGACTAAATGATAACATTAAACAGGTAACTAGTTGCGGGAGCGACTGGGAGGCTTTAAGTTTAACCAATTACTGATTTAAACTTGTTGTAGAGTTGACCAGTTCAACCCTTCAACTACCAACTGTTGAGCAGTTTAATAAATGAGGAAGTTAAGGGATTGGGATATTTCTGTTAAGTCTGATCCATTATTAACATCTAAACTGACAAATTCAAATGAATCTCTGTTAAGTATTTTCGTGCATCTTCCTTTAGAGAAATATGGAGATGCGGGGAGAGTGGGAAGGAAAACAGGTTAGAGAAGGGAAGAGGCGGGGAGGCTTCTAAGTCTATCTGACAAAAATATGCTGTTAAACGTGCCCTGGTCCCCAAATAAAATATAAACTAACCAGCTGAATTAGGTAAGGATGAAGGAAGGGTTGAGATTGGAGTTGTACTGAGAAGAGGACCTCCTGAATGTGAGCCCACTGGTAAACCTGAGCAGTGACGTCATTATATTATTGTGGTGACGTGATTGTTGTGGTGACGTCATTATATTGTGTTGTGATGACGTCGCTATATTACAATGATAGAACAACTAAAAGTTATTAATATTATCATGTCAGGGATTGTGGAGTGACCTTGCAAATGTTCACACTATACTATACTACACTATGCAAGGTGACTTAAAACAGCTTATCTAGGTCGACGACTGGTTTTCATGATGCTCAAACTTGAATAGAGCGTAAAATTTAAGTTTCCAACTTCTTCAGAAGCTTCAGAGTAGCGACCCCTTAGTTAAGTAATTAAACCTTCCATCCAATAATGGATTTTCCTGGGACAACTCCTAAAAAGGACCTCGCCCACTGGGCTGGTTATTGGGTCGAGAGTTATGGAACACCAACGACCGACCATAACTGCGCAGCCAAAATGACATAATATGTGAATTTTATCTATTCAATTGGTTAAGTGCAACGAGCAGGACTAGAATATTACAAGGTAAGTTATTTTCAAGAAATTCATTAATAATATTACCTAGCGTAACGGGGGGATATGAGATGGGGAGCGGAGAAAAGATGGTGGATGAGGGAATAGAGGAGACCATTGGCGGTGATATTATCATACTCCCTGGACTCGCACTGAAAGTGAGTTATTTTAGGTGACAATTTAGCAAATAATTGTGGTTAACAAAGTTTAGTTAACTGATTATAGTTGAATATACATTTTATTAACAGGTTTGTGATCGGGAAGGATAATTGTTAGAGTAAGTACGACTATTGATGTGACTATGTAGTCAGGCTGGGTGGTGCCATAGTTTGTAAAGAGTAAGTATGGTACATTGTTTTGATATATTGGGAGCCTTTGACTCTTTGAGATGGTCATAACTCTTCCATTGTCTTCTTTTTAAAGTCCCTGTTCTTGTCAGTGTACCAGAAAATAAACGACCGGGAGGTACGGGACCTTGTAATGGAGCTGAAGTTTAAAGATGCTTTTGTTATGTCTTTCTTTTTGTTTACGACTTTTTGTTTACGTTCACGGCTAGTTTTACGAACAAAAACAGCAAGTTATGAGTCGTCAAAATTCTTCCCATTCTTTGGAACGTTTTTCGTATCTGTAAAGGTGTGACTTTTCATCCATCGAACTACAAAAGAAGCTCCAAGGGTAGCTCCTTTACTTTTCCTATTGCTAATATTGCTGGACTAGCAACATGAAAATTTCTATCGCTTTGATTTTCTTGGTTCTGTTCCTTGCGACTGCAATCCAAGGACTTGACGGTCCCCTGAAACAAACTTTGAAGAAGCACAACAAATACCGGACGAAGCATGGTGTGGAAAAGCTTACGTGGGATGAGGAGGTAATGATATTTTACATAATTCTACTTTAGCTTTATTCTACATACTTCTACTTTATTCCACATACTTCTACATAATTATACTTGATTTTACTTGTGTGCCTGTTTAGGTGTCGTTTATACTCTTATAGCTTTAAAGCTTTATACTTTATAGTACTAAACGACGATTATGTTGATCTCTGTTGTTACTTTGATTTTTGGGAAAAAGATAACCCAAAAATATTCTAGAAACCTCTAAATAACCGTGACGTAACTTCATTGTTGTGATGACGTCACTAAATTGTTGTGATGACCGATGACGTCATTATATTATTATGACGTCACAACAGGTAGCAGAGTTCGCACAGACCTGGTGTGACAACCTGGCAGCGAATGACAAGTTCGAACACAGCAAAGGCAGTGGGTACGGTGAGAACTTGTACAAGATGTGGGGATCTGGAGACGATCCAGCTGCTGGGGCGGGCAAGAAAGCTGCGATTAAATGGTACAAGGAGATTAAAGAGTATGATTGGGAAAAGCCAGGGTTTACCATGGCAACAGGGCATTTCACTCAGGTTGGTACTCTGATTTATTTGGTCGGTAATCTATGATGCGAGCTTATCAGTAATATTCGTGTTGAAGTTTTAAAGTTAAAAGACTTACACTGGTTCCAGACAATTCTTAATTGACATATTGATAACAAATTTCTTTAAAACCTCTCTCTCTCTTCCCCACAAGGTTGTATGGAAAAGCTCGACCAAGTTAGGTTGTGGAATCTCCACCAAGGAAAGCAGCGCGTGGGTCTGCTGCAATTACTCTCCTCCAGGGAACTACCAAAATCAGTTCGAGGAAAATGTACCCAAGAAGGTGAAGAAAGATAAGAAGAAGAAGGCGGATAGTTTAGAAGAAGGCGACTTGGAGGAAGAGAAGAAGAGGGAGATGAATGAGAGAGGGTTGGATTAAAAGACGTGCTATTTTAGTTTAGTTGACAAGTCAGTAGCCGAGTTTAAGGTATTTGGTTGATATTGGCAGTTATGGAACGATTTAAACTTGATCTAATCTTTGTGTTCTCCTCGTAAGAATACAGGTTGAAAGTTCTTAGTCTTACGTCTTGCATTAAAGCATTAATAATGTGTTTCACGTTGTCTTAAATTTTATAAACAACGTTTACCTAATAATATACTATTACTTGAAACCCGCTAGTGGAAAGCTTTGTTCGAGGAAATTTTAAAAATCAGTTATGTTTTAATTTCTCTTCATCATATACAATATAGCTCTGTTATACTGTTGAAATCATGGATTTTATTTGACAATGACGATACAGTTGCAAGTATTCAGATTCCCTAAACGATACTTTCTACTTTTCTACCGCATCAAAAATATCAATCACAACCAAAGTTATGAATATAGTCATAGCGTGAGCGTAAATGTGAGCTATTTATGACGTATGATCATAAACTCATAAGCATGGCAACGCGCGTTGCTAATCTGTTCTTGCTCGTGCACGTGCAATCTTTTGATGTTGCTAAGCAACGACGCCATTTACCTTTGCTAAAATAACACCATTATTCTAACGTTAATTTTACCTCACTTCCGACGTTAATTATAGAAAATCTAAAGCCTTAACCAAAATTCTAAGAATTCTATCTCCTATTCCTATCCTTTTTTTTACAACCCTGCTAAAACATCGCGAGGTTTCAACTCCATTTGCGAGCTGAAATGTTAATAAAAAGGTTTGTGATCGGGAACTAGAGTGAGTGCCTAGTAGTTAAAGTCGGTGGTGTACGTGACTTCCTGTCAGGCTGGGTGTGGTGCTAGAGTTTGTAAAGAGTAACTACGAGTATGTAACCTGGTAACGCGGTAACGGAGCTAATGTTTACAGCTGCAGCTTCTGTTATGACGTTCACGACCTTTGTTAAAACGTTCACCGCTATTTTGTCGAACAAAAACAGTAAGTTATGAGCCGTCAAAATTCTTCCCATTCTTTCATGGCTTTCTTGGAACGTTTTCCGCATCTGTAAAGGTGTGAATTTTCATCCATCGAACTACAAAGTTCCAAGGGTAGCTCCTTTAATTTTTCCCATTGCTAATATTGCTGGACTAGCAACATGAAAATTTCTATCGCTTTGATTTTCTTGGTTCTGTTTCTTGCGACTGCGATCCAAGGACTTGACGGTCCCCTGAAACAAACTTTGAAAATTCACAACAAATACCGGAAGCAGCACGGTGTGAGGAAGCTTATGTGGGATGAGAAGGTAAAGATATTCTACATACTTTACATACTTTACAATCTTTACATACTTTACATACTTTACATACTTTACATACTTTACATACTTTACATACTTCATACTACATACTTCTACATACTTCATACTTCATACTTCATACTACATACTTCTACATACTTCTACTTTGTTCTACATACTTCTATTTTATTCTACATACTTCTACATAATTCTACTTGATTTTACTTGTGTGCCTGGCCTGTTTAGGTTTCGCTTATACTCTTATAGTACTAAACGACGATTCTATTGATCTCTGTTGTTACTTTGATTTTTGGGAAAAATATAACCCAAAAATACTCTAGAAACCTCTACATAACCGTGACGTCACTTTATTGTTGTGATGACGTCATTATATTATTATGACGTAATCATATTATTATGACGTCACACTCCTTACAACAGGTAGCAAAGTTCGCCACGACCTGGTGCGACAACCTGGCAGCGATTAACAAGTTCAAACACAGCAAAGGCAGTGGGTACGGTGAGAACTTGTACTGGATGAGGGGATTGGGAGACGATCCAGCTGCTGGGGCGGGCTACAAAGCTTTGACAAATTGGTACAATGAGATTAAAGAGTATGATTGGGAAAAGCCAGGTTTTACCATGGCAACAGGGCATTTCACTCAGGTTTGTATTCTGATTTATTTGGTCGGTAATCTATGATGCGAGCTTATCAGTAATATTCGCGTTGACGTCTTAAAGCTAAAAGACTTTAGCTGGCTCTCGAAATTCTTAATTGAAATATTGATTACAAATGACATAATGTATCGATTACAAATTCCTCTAAAGCTCTAACACCTTTCTTTTTTTCTGTTTCTAAAACATTTTTCTCTTCCTCTAAAACCTTTCTCTTCTCCAGGTTGTCTGGAATAAATCGACTAAGCTAGGCTGTGGAATCTCCACCAAGGAAAGCAGCACGTGGGTATGCTGCAATTACTTTCCTCGAGGGAACTTCAGATAAGTTAGAGAGAGAGAGAGAGAGAGAGAGAGAGAGAGAGAGAGAGAGAGAGAGAGAGAGAGAGAGAGAGAGAGAGAGAGAGAGAGAGAGAGAGAGAGAGAGAGAGAGAGAGAGAGAGAGAGAGAGAGAGAGAGAGAGAGAGAGAGAGAGAGAGAGAGAGAGAGAGAGAGAGAGAGAGAGAGAGAGAGAGAGAGAGAGAGAGAGAGAGAGAGAGAGAGAGAGAGAGAGAGAGAGAGAGAGAGAGAGAGAGAGAGAGAGAGAGAGAGAGAGAGAGAGAGAGAGAGAGAGAGAGAGAGAGAGAGAGAGAGAGAGAGAGAGAGAGAGAGAGAGAGAGAGAGAGAGAGAGAGAGAGAGAGAGAGAGAGAGAGAGAGAGAGATGAAGAAGAGAGGGTTGGATTAAAAGACGTGTTATTTTAGTTTAGTTGACAAGTCAGTAGTCGAGTTTAAGGTATTTGGTTGATATTGGCAGTTATGGAACGATTTAAAAAACACCTGAAAAAAATTATCTGCAGAAATTAATTTTTTAAATTTACCTTGTCTGTAAAATTCCGTTCGTTGAAAGAGAGTCCGCATCGTACAACGTCATGGGAGGAATCGAGGAGCTGAAATTAAATTATAATTACTTTTATCAATAATCTTAAAATTCTATGACGTCATTACTTTTGTTGACGTCATTAGGCCAATTAATCACGCTCCAAGATATGGTACCAAATTCCTGGAAAACCACCAAAAAGCGCTACAAAACCAAAACAAACCCCCCTAAACATCCACCTTCCCTCCCCGACTACACATGGAGTTACAACCATCCTTATCTCCCTATTAAACCACCCCTCACTGGAACCCTCCACTTACAAATCCCTCAGATCATAATTATATAATTAATCACACGATGAATGTTGCAGCTCATGCGAAGAGCTGACAACCCGCTCCTAATCATTCCCCAACACCTCCAAGAACTCACCACCCAAACCGCCGGCCACGTGATGCCCATATAAGGGTATAACCCCCAAACCGCCCGCAGTTATCAGCGTATTACATTTGGCACACACGACCAGGCCAACCTCCCTTACAGGACGATACGAAGATGATGATGATGATGAAAATTGCAACATGAATGCTTACTTCAATTCATTTCGTTAATGAAAATGATTAATTATGGTACAATGAAAGTAATTAATCAAGGCCTGATAATGGGATCGGAGAGGACCCCGCTGAGACTGCTACCCTTACCTCCCTTACCACCTCCAGTTATTGCATCTCAACATCTTGTTTTGTGTCTCATCTTTAGCAGTTCTAGTGGTGTTTTGGTTGCTCCTACCTCTTATAGTCTTAGGATAGGATAGGATAGGATAGGATAGGATAGGATAGGATAGGATAGGATAGGATAGGATAGGATAGGATAGGATAGGATAGGATAGGATAGGATAGGATAGGATAGGATAGGATAGGATAGGATAGGATAGGATAGGATAGGATAGGATAGGATAGGATAGGATAGGATAGGATAGGATAGGATAGGATAGGATAGGATAGGATAGGATAGGATAGGATAAGATAGGATAGGATAGGATAGGATAAGATAGGATAGGACCCTCCAAAGCTCTAGAACCCTGCCCATTCTTGCTACATACCTCTAGTTATTGCATCCAGCTTAAGTGTTTGGTTTGTTATTTCTTAGTTCTGGCAGTGTTTTGATTGTTTCTATATTATATTTCCTGACATATAGATTGTGTCAATGTGTAATGTGTATGCTTTGCTGCTGGGTAAACGGGTTTTTACCACAAATTTGTTGATATTGAGCAATGCAAAATCTAAGATCAGGTGCGAGCAGCTGTTGCATTGGTGATGCGAGTTAGTTTTGTGTAGTTTGAACTTTGAATCTAGACATATTTGAAATAGTTTGCACGCCCGTTGCAAAGTTATCGTTAATTTGTTCTGATATAAACCCCAAGTGGCGATTAAACCACCCCGGCACCCCATATAAACAGTTTATCCTACTAGACTTCTGAATTTCTCTCGAAGTTTACCAGTTGATGAGTTGAGCATTAAACAATTTGCAGCCGTAAGGAATTTATTTTGGTACAATAATTCGTCTTTTATCACTGCAGATGCCCTTGCTATACTACAATTTGTCTGGTATTCTGTTGGTATCTTGATTTGATAACTGCTCAATTAAGAGGGATAGAGGGCTAAGTAACTCTTTAATTTTGCTGAGAATCTTAAGATAATAAAGTTTAGTAACCGTAAGTCGTTATCCTTTACTAATACTAAAGCAAAAATTTTACGCACCGATCATTTTAATTTTTATCGATCATATCCAAGGAAGTTATCGCGGTTAACTAATCGGCAGAGTTCCGGAGAGAATAATAGAGTAGTAGTGATGTCACTACATTAAACCACGTGACGTCATCACAACACCACGTGACGTCACAATAAAACCTGACAAACCTGAATGATATAGATTTGGGAGGTGAGTTGAGCATCATAGGAGTTGAGATGGAAGCAGCTGGTGTCATGTCCGGATCTTGTGATGTCAGGTCCGGGATAACCGGATGTACTGAGTTTACTGTGTCACCTCCGGAGTTCGGGGACTGTCCTACAACAGAATTAGATGGTTAAATTTAGAGATTACAATAAACATAGATTTGACAGTTTATTTAGGAACTGTCAAAGATACAATAATATGGTTGTGTTAGTAGTTTATTTAAGGAATTTCCAATAATAGGATCTCGTTTTGAGACCATGGGTTATCCCCAAACATTCCTCAAGCATATATTAAGGTTATTTAGCAGATAGTAAAAATGATATCGTGTTCATTAATTTGAGATAACATTGAAACACCTATCTCCGAACTAGCCTAATTCTGGGGGAAATACTATATTATTTAAGGCAAAACTTCAATCCATGTCGAGTAAAACGGGAAATAAATGTTTTCACAACGTCTTTACATATTCATACCAAGGTTTGTACTGCCTATTAAAGCTAGAAACTGACTCTGTCTCGAAATGACGGCAGTATAAAATTCACAACAATTAACAACGATCGCTTCTTAATTCTGTAACTCTTAAAGCAAATCGAATTTTAAGAATTACGATCTAAAATAAATATTTTCATTTGAACTGTAAGATGGTTAACTTTACGGAGAGGTAAATTTGTCCCATATTTACATTATAATATAAAAAAGATAGGTAATTTATAAGTACTGGATGGAATAATTTCAACCTGAAATCAGAAAATCAAGGATTTTATGCAACAGTAACATGGTTATCTTTGCTTAATTATAATTGATCCTGACTGAAATTCTCAACTCTACGTCTTGAAATCCTACCGTGATGCGGCGCAACTTCATATTGGGCCGTTTTGCGGGGATTAAGCAGTCAACAGTTTCAATTCTCAAGCTGATGTTCAATTAACGAGACCCTGTATGAAGGAACCCTCGCCACGTTAAACTACAGTCCCAGAGATCGCTTTTAGGACCAGACTACAATATAAACGATTATAAACTCTCCAACATAACCTTATAAACTCCAACATAAGCTTACATTTACAAACTCCAACGTAAACAGACAAACCCACACACCATGCACCAAAAACAAAACATTACCCCAGGTATTATCTGGACCCCACTGTACCTCACACACGACAAGAACGAGTAAGCAGGGATCGACCGGGGACGAAATTTAGCCGGGGCCGGGGCCGGGACCAAGTTGAATCAGCCGGGGCCGGGATTAAACGGGATTTTGAAATGTTGCCGAGGCCGAGGCCGGGATTAACCGGGATTTTGAAATGTTGCCAAGGCCGGGGCCGGGATTGGCTAAAATATGCCGGGGCATACACGACAAGAACGAGTAAGGCTTATAAACTCAAATATAAACTTATAAACTTATAAACACGCTGATAAAACCAGCACAGTATCAAAAACAAAACAGAGAGATGGGCAGCTCCACCGGGCCTCATATTCGCCGGACAGAGCGTGTTAGGCTGGTGGAGCTTATCACACAACACCCCGGCTCAAAGGGAGCCGCGTGATCAGGACGTGACACGGTTACAGTGACAAGCTGGGGACGGGGACCTGAACAGGGGGAGGCAGCTATAAGAGTCAGTATTTTATGAGGGGGTTAGGAGGGTGTCTTTAGGGATGTGGGGTTTTTAGGTTTAGTTTCAGGACACGGACCATTGTAAATGTGGGATTGTGGGGGTTATTATTCTGGAGAATGTAGGAAGAACCGTGCGGTTTAAAGATTTAACTTAATACAATTAATGAGTTACACACCAGGTGAAAAGATAATATTTAAAAGGTCTAAGTAGCATAAGATTTTGGTCCGGGATGATCGAAGTTAAATGGTCGTTTACACAAATCAAATCACAATTGATCAGGACGAACCAAGTGTTAACCTTTTACTTTTTCAGATCAAAGATACAGCCATTAACTGGAAGTAATGTGATAAAGATATCAAAGGATGGCCGTGAGGGTTTGCAGGTGCTACAATATAAACGATCAGGTTTTCTGATACAGTGAAAATTTCACAAAAGTAAGCCGTAGTATTTGTGGCGCGCGGGAACATGAAACATGTCCATGAATAATACATCGAGGAGATAAATTGTCCTCTAAGAGAAATTTCACGAAAAAACGGTTTATAGTTATACAACACAGAAATTCCCAGGACCTGTAAATGGAGTTGATGGCTATCAAAACATCTTTACTACCTGTTGGAGGGTTTATGGGGAGGTATGGATTAATATTTAATGGGGGGCTATTATAAGCCCCCTCTCCCTTGCAACTGCTCGGTGTTATAAAATATAATATATTATATTTATAATATATATTACCATCACTGATAACACGTGGTGTGATTGATAGTTTATGCTATTTTTGGTGTTGCCCTATTGATAGGCAGCTAGTTCTAAAACGTCCCGTTCTAATACCGACCAATAAATTAAGTGGAACACTTAACTTATTGTACATTACATCATATGTTCAGTTACGTGATCAAGTGGAAATGAGCGAGCAAAATGAGCAAAATGAGCAAAATGAGCGAGCATCTTCAGCTGACAAATTTAAGTTAACTAAACGTTTCACACATCCGTTTTACAAACAGATCTACTGAAAGGGAAAGCAGTTGCTTAAAGTGTGCCAGCTTTGATAATTTTCAAGATTTATTCCCGAAAATCTTCTGCTTAAGTAACTAAAACTGCTGTCGAGCTTGAATAACGAATGGAAAGCATTAAGAATCACGTAGCGTCTATACTGTGTATATAATGAAGTAAATTGTCGGACATAACGTGTTCACTTAACGAAGGAGAAATGTTTGGAGCGATCTGATTGGTCGATCTTTCGACGTAATGACCGGCAAACCAGTGCCACCATATATCAACAACACCCACGTACGCAACACTATAATACGAGACAAGAGAAACGCCACCTTAGGACGTGAGGAGAGTTAGTAATACATGATGTATCACTTAATTTAGTACAGCTACTATATAAGCGGTTATCTATCTAAATCTAGTATTACCTCTGCCATCTCACGTGACCAGTATTTCGAGGAAAACATCTTAACCATGTGGGATAAATCCATACCAAAAATTACGGCATAGATTTATTTCAAGCATTGAAAACAAGAAAATTAAACAAATAGTGGTTGCCATGAGATAATTTCATGTATGAATAATCTTAGACATTTCTATTTTCTACTAATTCAAATGACCAGTCACCAACTGGAACCTTAGGTCAACCTAACTTCACCGGGAGTCACCCACTTGACCAATCAAAGTTAAGGTAAAATTGTAATTTAAAACAATGGCCCCGCGCCTGTACACACTACACATCCAACAGATTTCTGAAGAACTTGAATCATCTCCAAATTGCGCTTATCATCAATCATACAACAGAAAATTATTCCATCCTAAACCTTCTAAATTCTCCATTAAACCACAATTTTCTACTGCAAAAGACAGAGCTCCTTACTTGCTTAACATATTTTTATTCTCGACACCACCGCCTTGATCAAACATCAAGCTCAATTCAAACCAGTCGCTCATCAACCAGTCTGAAAATTTAGCCAGTCAATTGGTCCACTGATCAGGCCAGTAGCAAGCAAGGAGGAGGCAGAGAGTTAGCAGTTCTAGACCGGGTGTGGTCGGATCTGAGAAGGGGGGTGAGTCATGCTTTACTACAGCGAGGGAGGCACTTAAGTACTTAACAGTATTGACAAGTTGGCGTGTGTGCGTGTAGTATGCTAATCTGTCGGGAGAGGGGGGAGCAGGTTGATTGGAGTTGACACTCTTGACACGGAGTTAATGGGGCTGGAGTTAATTGAGTTGGAGACTGTGGAGCAGCGTGAGTGGCTATTTGAGGTGGGTTTAATGGGGATGGAGTCTGGAGCTTGTTGTTTGGGTTGGGTCCAGGGATTTGGGGTCTGAAGAGCATTAGTGGTGGGTTATAACTTATAATAGGGTTTACAGAGCGGTACCATCCAGGGGCTTGGATGGATTATGGAAATATATTCTGTCATTAAAAAATCTATGTATTAGAGATTTATTTGCTTAAGAGAACGCAGAGTCAAATATAACACACTGGGACACATATGGGGACCACATAGCACATCTGAAATCATCCAGAGAATAATTAAGGGAAGAACCGTATAAAGTCAACAAACTGGCGTTGCAGCTAGATGCCACTAAAAAGGGTTACAGGTTTCTGAAAAATGAAGGGCAACATGGCAGCTAGCTAGTAGCCACCACTAAGTGGAACCGTTCATGTCTTTACCATCGGGACTAACAGTTGACGTCGCCGACTAGACCAGGCAGCGAGTCAAACATTTGCAAACCAAAATATTATACGGCTATATGTTTACAGTACGCTTAAAATGGCGGCTGTCATATTTCGGCTAGCCGTTCAGGGCAGGAGGTATTTATCAGTGTCACAAACGGAGAGGGGAAGGTAGCGTCTTTCCGGGGGAGGCAGCGTCTTTCCTGCTCTGCTACCAATTCTAAAATCTACGGTTTAACCCACAAAAGCTTCCGAAAACTTGTTAACAAAACTGGATTATTACTAAACAAGAATGAGACATAGGAAGGACTCTCTGAAGCACGGGCTGATTAAGAATGCATGTTCATATCACCATCTCTCTCTCTCCCTCAACCCCCAACTTAAAATTCACTCTAGCAACTCCTGGCGCGCCAGTCTGTAGATCCAGTCACTAACTGAGAGAGCCGGGGGAGAGAGGGAGGCATTTACCGGGTATCTAACGTGCGTTTAGTGCAGATATCAGGGATATATATCAGGGATAGATATAGGGATAGATATCAGGGATAGAGAAGGGGTGAGAGAGGGAGAGAGGAAGAGAGGGAAAGAGGTAGAGATACGTACCTCTGGTGACAGAGCTCCCGCCTGCATTACGAGATCGCATTATAAGGGGAAGCCTCGAGTCCAAAATCGTATATCGAGAGATAGGTACTATTACTGAGTACGGATTTCAGAAAAGTGAACCGAAAACAATATGTTACATGTTAGGCTCATAATGATCAGGGTACCATGAACCATGGAAAACAATTAGTTTCCAGGAATCCACTTTCACAAGCATTTCTTAACCC